TATCATCTGCGTAAGCGACGGCACAGTCTAGTCCAGCCAACATCATATCCATTATTTGCTCAAAAATACCTGGGGCTACTTTTACACTGAATAGTAATCTTCAAAACTTGTAAAGTCCTTTATATGTATTATTAGTAAAAAAAAAAAAAAAATTCTGTTATTCCTCATCTATTTCGATCTGAAGACTTGCATTAGACAGGTTCATTTTTGAAAAAAAATAGCACCATTAAATTTGGCAAATGTATCCTCTGAAGTTGGTAAGAGTCGAAAAAAAAAAGAATCTTACTATTTTTCTTTCTAATATAAGCCGCTGACGTGGCCCATTCTGAATAATCTGTATTTTCAATAACTCCCCAGTTTTCGAAACTATCAATTTTTGTGTTTATAGACACCAACGGAGCAAAGGGTATCGTTCTTTTAGGGTTAAAAACTGGTATCACATTTTCTTTGAATTTGAAAAATGCCTTTGAACATTTTTCCAACTCCTCTACCAGTGAATTTTTTTAGTTTACTCAATGTTTCTTTAGCTATTTTTTTTTCCTCTGACGAATAATTAATTTTTCCACATAAGGAATTAATTGGCCAATCTCATCGTTTAAATAATTCTAGCCAATCGACGTCTAGTAAATTCGTGTTTGGAAGTTTTTAGTGCGTAAACATCTGCTTTTTAGCAAGAGCGATTTATACACGTAATTTTTCCAAGAAAAATTAATTTCTTGCCTGATATTTCTCTTGCAACTTTGTCGTTTTTTTTTTTAAGTTAGGCTTGCCATTTCTTTTCGAAATTTGTTCATCAATAATTGTAATATGGCTACCAGTGTCCAATTGAAATCTCACTGTAGCGTTATTCATTTTTACTTCCACGAATTTTCTATTATTTGGACTTTCCAGTTTTTAGCTGGTAACACTACTTTCAGCAAGTTAATTTGTGCATTTCTCTTGCTTTTCAACTTTTAGTAGCTTCATTTGTGACCTGCTTTTTCAAAATTTAAAAATTCTTTGGTTTTAAATGAAAAGTCCTTTCTGAAATGAAACATACTACAGACATAAAATGAGTTTTCTTTTAGCACTACTGTCTTTTTAAAACTAATTGTACTTCTGACGTACCATTTTGTTAAATTTTAACTGTATCTTGCCTTAAACTGACAATTTTCGGGACTCTTCTGCAAAAGTCTGTATCGTTAACTGTAAATCCTGTATAAGTTTTGTAAGTATTCGAGAGCGTGTTTCCATATCTTTGATTGATGTTAGACTTTTAACGAAGATTAGACATTTAAATCTGTCTGTGGTTAGTTCGTCCACTTCAAATTTCTCACACTCACGGTCGACTTTACCAGCATATATGAGAAAATCTTTATCTTCGTCCTTAGTAAGGTTCATGCACTGCCAACGTATATAAAAATGAATTCTTTTCAACAAAAGTTTTTGATAATATCGACACTGTTTCGTTAAATGATACTTTTTCTGGAGTATTTGGCAAAATGAAATTCAGATATTCTTCATGTTCAGCGGGGCACAATTTTTGTAACAGAAGTCGTACTTTCTTTTTATTCGACCATCCTTGACATTCTTGTCTGGAAATAGCTTCTTACCTTCTGAAGTACGATAGGAATGTAATGTTTAATTCTGAGACGTAATTAAATTCACTTATTGAGTTAGCGACTGAGTTTGGCGAAAATGAAATCGACGCATTGCTTGTTCGTTGCTTTTCCAGGATTACCTTCAACTATTCTCGATATTCAATCCGCTCACGCTGCATTTGTTGTAATAGTTGCTGAATAATTATCATCAATTCTTCCATAGTGCATTATTTTCATGCTAGTGGCCCTTAACAAGGAAGAAAAAGTTTTTTTTCTAATAGCAGTAAGTCACACATCTTTGGAATCAATTTCCTAGTTGCCCTATGAATATACACGAACAAAATTCTTTTCAGTGAATATTATTCGCCAGCTACTGAGAACGATGTTTTTTTTTTCTTTTTCGTGTGAATTCGAATCCTCGTCGCCACTGTTATGTCTTTATTCCTATGAATGATTATAACATAATCGTGAAAAATAATGTCACTTGGAGTCGACGTAGTCTTACTGAATTCTGTAGTAAGCGTATAAGGCTCGCTATCTGCTGGCGATTCTCGGCGTCAGTATATATGCTATTTAGACGAGTTCAAGTTATATTCTGAAAAGGTTTGTTCATCTCCACAACACTTAGACATGAATTCTAAGCGCCTTTTTTTCATAGCAAATTTCTCTATTATGTATTTCGTGTTTGTTTTTCGTTCGAAATCAACAAGAATTTGTTTCTCGATAGAAATGAAAGCTAAATACCTGAGCTCATTTACTAAGGACTTGTAATCAAACATATCAGATATTGTGCTGAAAAGAATCTATATATTCACATAGGGACTGTATCAAACTAAGATATGTTTATCAATATTACATGAGAGATTTGTATTTTGCGTGCTAATGTAATCTGCAAGCAATTGAGCAAATTAGAAATAGTGGTAAAATACTTTTACGTGTGCAGCTGGGAATGTAAGTCGTTTATTTCTACACGTAACTTGAGTCAACGTAATTAGATCTGGAGTTATTGTAACTGTTTCTTTCACTAACCGGCGGCCATTGCGTTCAAGGCCGGCTAAAAGAAAATAGTCAATAGATTGGTGCCGCCGTATCAGTGCATCAGCAAAAGTTTCAATTACCACGCAAGAGGAAACAATTGAAAAACAGGTCGCAAAATGGAGAAAGACCAGGAGGAACGAATATGTTAATAGCAAGATTTCTTTTATTACAAAGTCGTAAAGGCAACAGTGATATGAATCTTTCGCCCGGCTTTATTTTGTAAAACAAAACCTTCACCGCCATATTCGATACTTTTGACAACGCGAACGAAGCAAAATAAAAAAAAAAAAATAAAATCGTTACCCAAGGCTCTCTGAAACCAAATGAATGATTTAATTATCTTTTTGGTTTCCTGTTTACATTTTCCAACACACGTAGGTTTCTTCACTTGCTATGAAACCCATTGTACATAGTCGATACTTAGCACGAAGTAGTAATTAAGCTCCACTTAGTCTGGTACATGACTATTAAGGATTTAATTACTCTAACGAATTAAAATATGAGACCTTTAAGAAATATAATATTACTTCAGCTGCCTAGCAGGACCAATATTGGTATTGATAAAAGATTGCCAGAAAGGTGGACAGTTTTACTTGTATGATTGACTTGGCACGATGAAAGCTGAATATTTTAATCGGTTCACAGTGACTGAGTCTCTTCAAGACAATTTAAGAAAAGCTTGAGGAATCAAAAGGAAAATCCAATCGCTGAGAGACGATTAAAGATAGAAGTTGCCGAATTTAAAAAAAAAAAAAAAGAAAAGTGAATGCTATGACGTAGGGATACATAATGCTAAGGCTGATCCAGGATGGCGAGCGATTGGTCAAATTAACGTGGGCGTGGTATTATGTCTGTGGATGATTGGCTTTTCTTTAAGTTATTGATATAAGATCAAAAACTGATTTCACTAATTCCACACTAATTTAAAAAAGAACATAATTTTTTAAGGAGAAAATAGATTGAAAACTTAATAACATTATTGTCAACACACACCTAAATCATTACATCACATCGCCATCTTTCTTTGAAACCATTCTTGAAAAATCTAACTTATATCTATCTAATACAAAGAATACATGCTTAAAGAGGTCAGCCATAAATTAGAACCATGTGACACCCCGCTGTGCAGGCTGACCGCACAAAGGTGAAAACATCAGAACTCCCACTAGACAGACACACATACACAATTACAAATACACATTACCATCGATGCCCACTTAGACATAAAAGAATTTTCCCAAACTTGCATACACATACAATCATCTACGGTTTGAATGTACGTGATACGTGTCTGACCAATGAGAATTGACCCAAACATAATTGGTACTGCAAGCCTTGACAAAGCTTTAATAAAAGGGAAACATGTTAAATTGATATATGTTTCCTATTTGTTCTTTATTTTATCATCCTGTCGGATTCCGATTCATATTTGATGTGCTCTGCATTTGATCCTTATCTTATATATATATATATTTTCTTTCTATAATAATTATTAATACAATCATTCTGGGTCGTGAGGAGAGACGAATCGTGAAACCTCCGATAATTATCATGAACTTTCATGCAATATCTATACACACATACACACACACACACATATATATATATATATATATATATATATATATATATATATATATATAGTGCTGTTCGATAAAAGTGACACCTGATTTTTTTTTTTACTAAATGTTCTCTTCCCCGATGAAACGAAAGTTGAGCTAAATTCAAAGGATAAGCTATCTAAAATCTGAAGAAGAACCTTTGAAAGCTCTTTGAATTTAGCAGTAAGTACTGTCAAGCATCCGTTCAGTATAATGTTCTGGAGATGCTTTTCTTTTCATGGAACTGGTTTCTTAAAACCTATTGAAAAGACCCTCAGGAGCGAGCAGTACAAGAGAATTTTATAGTCTTTTCTGCTCCCTTCTGCTGAAAGGGTACAAATCGACCCCACCAAGCTCATTTTTTATGCAGGATAATGTTCCCTGTTACAAATCAAAATTGATGAAGGAATACTTTGATGAGAAGCAGGTGACAAGGCCGCCCCAATCTCCTGACCTCAACCCCATAGAAAACTTATGGAGCATTATAAAGTACAGGCTCCCGAGAAAGCAGTTGAGCAACATGTGTAGAATTGACAGTGAATATCGGCTCATGTTATTTATTTGTATAGTACTGATGAAGGAATCTACCATGGATTCTATTTGGGCGTGTGTTTTCTTGCTATTGATTTATTTTATTTACTTTTTATTGATTTCCTTTTCACATACAGACCTAAAACCTTCATTTTCTTTTACTTTTTTCAGTGCCGAATATAATCACAACCCTGTTCCAGTGGATGATGCCATCGTGCTTTCCGGAGGTACGATCTTCCATCCGAGCCGAATGGTGGAAACGTCCGTTTGTGCAGTCAACATGGCCAAGTTTCCATTCGACACGCAAACCTGCACGCTCCTCTACGGTTCCTGGGGACACACGGGCAAGGAGGTGAACATCACGACCAGGTTGGGTGGAATTGACATGGGTGACTTTAAGCAGAATAACAAATGGGAAGTTTTGGACACTTCTTCGCGGGTAAAGTGATATTATTTTTTTTAATTTATTAAAAGCCTTTTATCTTTTATCTGACCACACGTTGTGAAATAATCAAATAGTAATGGTTGCTTCGCTAAAACGCAACGGTTAGTAAGCTAAACAAAAGGCCATGGTTAGAATAGTGATATTTTTTATGCTTTGTGCCTGATTAATCAAAACTGACCTCTGGCTATAAAGCAATCGTTAATGAGATACTTGATCAGACTATTAATATAGTAATGAGTTCTTTCTCCTGTAAATGATCCAGATTTTTGACCTTGTTTAAACGGGATTATAAAACACCTCTAATCAAATAGGAAAAAAAATTGATAATGGATGTTGTTGTGTATGATACACCTAATTTACATAAGCGGACTACCGACCATATAAATATGGGTTGGTACCGGAAGACGGGGAAGATAGTAGAGATTAAGAAATTGAATCCAGAGACTCTGCCCGACTGCGATTTAGTCAACCCATTATGCAGGAACAGTCTTCCCAAGAATATACCAAACTAACTGTAAATATTGTGTACCTATTCTTTGTTTCAATACATTTTGTTAACGTACATTTTGTGTTGTATTATTCCATGCTTATTTAAGCTTCAACAGATGTATATTTGTTTTATTTTTTATTTTTGTTTCTTAATTATTTGATCCCAAGGAAGGCGATAACGCTACTAAGATGCAGGGGGGTGAAAGAGAATGAGAAAACTTTAATGAGGAGAAAGGGTAATAAAAGAGCAGAAGTTGGCGAATTGGCGTTGCTTTTAAACTTTTGAAAATTGTGGGTGGTAAGGAAACTGGAAGGTAGTTTCAGAGGTGAAAAGAGCGAGAAAAGAAACTATTAGAATAGAAGAGAATAGTTGCATCTAGCAAAAACTGTAGGACCTAATTGCCACTCTAGTAGCGCGCTTAAATTAATAAAATCAATGCACCAAGGAGTAAATATAATCAGAACAGTTGCCATGAAAATATTTGTAGAAAAGACATAGGGAAGCCATATCATGTCGATGAGAAAATGACGGAAAGTCAAGATGTCAGGACAAGATCGATTACATTAAAGAACCTTTAAATTTTGTCATGAATCTCTAGACATATAAGAGGAGCACCGAACCAAATATTGCAGTAATATTTAATGCACGGACGAATGGTAAATTTATGAATGTTCAAGATAGGTTCTGACAAGAAATATTGTTTGGTATGAAACAGTAAACTAGTTTAACTAGCAGGAAACCTAGCATTTGATTTAATATAATCACTGAACTTCATATTAGTAGAAAACCTGAGATGCTCCAGATTTTTGACCTTGTGTTTGGTTAAAGCAGGTATATAAAATACCTCAAATCAAATCTTTGATAAGAATCTTTGATAATGGATGTATATTTGTTGCAGTGATTCAATATTTTATGTAATTTCTTTATTTTTAATTGTTTATATTTTATATTTAATTGATTAAATAAAAGTATTAATATTTAATTGTTTATACTATATTTAATTGTTTAAATATAAATATTTAATTGTTTATATTTTATATTTATATATAAATATTAATATGTAATTGTTTATATTTCTTTATATTCTTTATATTTTATATTCTTTTATTTAATATTATATTAATTAATATGTTATTTTAATATATTATTTTATATTTTATATTCTTTATATCTAATTGTTTCTTCTTCTTTCTTTAGTTCACTCTGACCCGGGGTGGTGGCACCTGTTAGGGTCCCAGCTATGGGTAAATAGGGAACTCCCAAACAAAAATCAGCAGTATATTTTTAGAATAAAATGAACAACAATACATTTTTATAGCAAAATGGCAATCAATGTAACACAAAAAAGTTATAAAAATACCTTTTTTATAGTAAAATTAACAATACATTTATTTACAAAATATATATTTAAAACACATACATTTATTCTGAAGGTTATGTACAGAATGTCTGTAGTTGAAAGCATAAAATTATGTACTAAATATTTAGATTTCGGCATTAAATAACCCATAGAGATGTTGATATGCCGCTAAACAAAATCAACCAACCAATCTTCGTTCTTTATTAATTTTTTCTTCTTTTTCTTTGTATTTTTCGTTATTATTTTCTTTTTTCATCCTTTTCTCTCATTCATTTCATACTATTCTATCTTCGTTTAATTTTTTATTTCTCTGTTTGACACTTTTATTCAAATTTATCATTTATTTTTCTTTCCTTCACACAACTTCAGTTGTCTACCATAACCGCTGTTTGTCTTCCTTTCTATACGCACCAATTTCCAAACATATCTTCTTCCTTTTATCACCTGACACATTCACTTGTCTCAAATAACTACTTTCCATCCTTCCTTCCATTTTTCTTTCTTTCTTTCTCTACAGCTATCATAACCTCCGTATAGCTTTCTTTTTTTTATACAGCATCGACTTTTTCGACAAATTTTTCTTTCTTTCTTCATACACCTTCAATTGTCTAACATAACCTCTTTATTTCTTTCGTTTTCCTTTCTTTCATTCTTTCTCTCAGTCTTTCTTTCTTTCTTTCTTCACAGCCACTGTAACCTCAGTATCGCTTTTCTTTCTTACACAGCATCAATTATTTTATATATTTTCTTTCTTTCTTCATACAACTTCAATTGTTTAACATAAGCTCTTAATTTCGTTCTTTCGTTTTTCTTTCTTTTTTTCTTTCTTTCTTTCTTCACAGCTATCATAACCTCCATATTGTTTTATTTTATACAGCATCAACTTTTTTGACAACTTTTTCTTTCTTTCTTCATACACCTTCAATTGTCTAACAATCTCTTTATTTCTTTCGTTTTCCTTTCTTTCTTTCTGTTATTCTTTCTTTCTTTCAGTCTTTCTTTCTTTCTTCGCAGCCATCGTAACCTCAGTATCGCTTTTCTTTCTTACACAGCATCAATTATTTCATATATTTTCTTTCTTTCTTCATACACCTTCAATTGTTTAACATAAGTTCTTAATTTCGTTCTTTCGTTTTTCTTTCTTTCTTTCTTTCTTTCTTTCTTCACAGCTATCATAACCTCCGTATTACTTTTCTTTTTTATACAGCATCAACTTTTTCGACAACTTTTTCTTTCTTTCTTCATACCCCATCTAACATAACCTCTTTATTTCTTTCGTTTCTTTCTTTCTTTCTTTCTTCACAGCTTCGTAACTTCAGTATCGCTTTTCTTTCTTACACAGCATCAATTTTGTCTACATTTTCCTTCTTTTTTGATACAACTTCAATTGTTTAACATAAGTTCTTTATTTCGATCTTTCGTTTTTCTTTCTTTCTTCGTTCCTTCCTTACTTTATCTTTCTTTGCTGCTATTCAGTTGTCTAACATTTCTTATTCCTGTCATTATACACCATAAATTTGCTATTCTATTTAGATTATTCGGACTGTTGTCTTCATCTTTGTTGCTATATTCACGACGTTACAGCAGTTGTACAATCCGGCCTTCTTCAGGTGATTGGAATTTCGAACTGAACCCTTTATTTCGTCCACCGGGGTAGAGTGTTCTAGTTCCACGTGCCATATCTCTTCCGTATGTCTCAGTTATCTCCCTTTAACTCAGCTCTCCAAGTTTTTGTTCAACCCTACAGTAATCAGGTATTAAACTAACAACTCTTTGGGTCAAGCCATTGGATCCAACCAACGCTTTTACCCAGTGGGCCATGTGTCCTCAAGTGGCTACTTCAATGTTGAACAAAAACTTGGGGAGTTGAGTTAAAGAGAGATAACTGAGACATATAGAAGAAGCATGGCACGTGGAACTAGAACAATCTACACAGGTGGACGAAATAAAGGGTTCAGTTTGAAATTCCAGTCACCTGAAGAAGGCCGGGGCGTACAAAGACCGAAACGTCGTGAATACGGCAACAGTCCGAACAACGTAAATAGTATAAATAAGTAAAATACCTCATCTCAGAAATATAGACAGATAACAATTTTCTAAAATATATTCATGCTTTTTTATTTCTTTCTTCAATCTCTTTCATAACTTCTTTCCTTCTTTATTTTTATTTACCTTCTCTTTTTTTCTTTACAAACCTTCAGTTGTCAAGTACTTTCCTTTTTTCTTCGTTTTTTTTAAGCGGTCTCTCGTAACTTACTTCATTCTTTCTTTTTTACTTTCTTTCTTGTTTTCATTCATTCTTTCTTTCTTTCATTCATTCCTTCTTTCTTTCTTTCTTTATTTACGTATCTTTAATTTTTCAACCTAAAATTCATTCTTCTTTTAGGTGTTTGTTTCTGGATTTCTTTACTTCATGTGTCTTACATGACATCTTTCCTTTTTACTTTCTTTCTTGTTTTCATTCATTCATTCATTCTTTCATCCCTTCTTTCTTTCTTTCTTGTTTTCATTCATTCATCCCTTCTTTCTTTCTTGTTTTCATTCATTCATTATTTCTTTCATCCCTTCTTTCTTTCATCCCTTCTTTCTTGTTTACATTCATTCATTCTTTCATTCATCCCTTCTTTCTTTCTTTCTTGTTTTCATTCATTCATTATTTCTTTCATCCCTTCTTTCTTTCTTTCTTGTTTTCATTCATTCATTATTTCTTTCATCCCTTCTTTCTTGTTTACATTCATTCATTCTTTCATTCATCCCTTCTTTCTTTCTTTCTTGTTTTCATTCATTCATTCTTTCTTTCATCCCTTCTTTCTTGTTTACAATCATTCATTCTTTCATTCTTTCTTTCATTCATTCTTTCTTTCATCCCTTCTTTCTTTCATCCCTTCTTTCTTTCATTCATTCTTTCTTTCATCCCTTCTTTCTTTCTTTCTTGTTTACATTCATTCATCCTTTCTTTCTTTGCACTAATTCACTAATCAAACATAAGCACTTTATTATTATTGCACTATTTCTTTCCCACACTCGAGAAAATTAAATTTGAATATTTCTATTCGACTATTTATTCAAATAAATCAAGATACTTCTTCTTCATGTATGTGCTGTGTCTCTTCTGGACGTGGATGATCATGGCTCTCCACAACTTCCTCTTCTTTATAGCTCTAAGCAATGTTTATTGTCTTACTATCATCCCTAGCCCACACTTGCCATTCATTTACTTGTTAAATAATTTACTCGATTTTTCCTCTTAGCAAATTCTCCAAGCCTTCTTTCTTCATTATGAGTCCCAGAAAATTCACCTCTCTCTATCTCTCTCCGATTCTAATTATGTGCCCGTTTCATTCCCATTTCCCTTAAAACTTCCTCTTACTCACATACTCCGTCCATGGTATTCACAGCATTCTTCCGTAAAATTACATTTATGTTGCTTCAAGTCTCCTCTTCATCTGTGAGGAAATTGCCCATCATTCACTGCCATATAGGATGATTGAATGAGACATGTTAAAATTTGCTTGTGTCTCTTCACATCATACTCGGATTTCAGCATAAAATCGCTTTCTGACTAAAAATACTAAAACCTGCTATATTTAATACTGTACAACAAATCAACTCTAGTTTTCGAAAGCAACTTACGGTTTCGATTTACACCTTTCATCTTGTTGCGTCTTTTAATTTAAACTTGATTCTACTGTGCATATACAAAATTCACAACACCAAATTTACCCAATGTTAGAGAAATCATAGAAGTGTCTTTGAGGTTTGCTCAGAGTTTATGATTTTTTTTTAAATGTTAACTGTACGACGTCGTTTACAAAAAAGAACAACGATAACTCAGAAATTTAGATACGGGAAATTAGTTTAAACCTGACCCCCGATCAGTATTGTTCGATACACGCTAGCACACTGGTTCTCGTACGCATACCGAAGTCAAGCAACGTCGAGCCTGGTCAATATATAGATGGGTAACAGTTTGGGAATACCAGGTCCTGTAAGCCTGGATATGCAGGTGGTGTAATAGATAACTTCTCGGAATTGGAATTTGTAAAGCCGAGTTCCAATTCCAGTTGGGTTCGTTATATTCACCTACGCGCAAATACCCTTAGGAAATGTATGAACCCACCTCTTCTCTCCCCCATCTATGGATTAATTAGTAAGACGTGTATCAGTAAAGCATTATTATCACCCATAAATTATTACAATCTAAAATATTTTTTGCTTTAAATAGAAGGTTGATAAACCGTAAATAAACAAATCAATACATCAATCTTGCACGATACAGAAAATAGTTATTGTTAGACAAGACATTCACTAGCGATAGAAAATTGATTTATTGCGAGAATCCAAATCTTGACGAGTTTCAGGAGAGCTTTTTACACCTCGATATAAATATAATGTACCATGGAAACTCTCCTCCCACTGTGTTTGTTGGGATTCAAATTGAATTCTTTATTATGAATTTCAGGAAACAGAATACACTCTTATTATCCAAAGTCATATTAGAAACTGGCTCGTATCAATGACTCGTTGGAATAGAAAATACTATTTTCTAAGCAAAAATAAATAAAGTAAAATAAACAGATTATTGTATCAGTATAGTGCAAAATTTTATGAGTATGCAAATATACTGTGTGGGTAGGAGAATCCAGTTGCATCAGGCTTGTATCAATGTCTTATTGGAAGGGAAAATAATTTTTTCTAGTTAATGAAAACAATCAGCAATTTTGCTGCAAGCAATTGATCATGGATCCGAAATTCTTCTATATGCGGCGTATTCTCCAGGCTATCACTTGTTTCGTTCTGTATAAAATTCCTTGTCTGATTAGCACTTCCAATAAGTTCAAAATATAGAAGTATTCCTCAAAGAATTCATCGAATTAAAACTGTGATATTCTTCACGGGATTTACAGTTTAGATGAAAAATGTCACAGAAAACGTGTATATGCCTATATAATGAAGCTATGAGTTCATATGAATAAAAAAAATTAACAAAAAGGCTGAAACTCAAAGATCAATCTACACTACACATTATGATCAGTGGCAAGAGTGACAACTACTACCTCGTAATAACTGCGCATGTGAGGGTCAGTGGTATATAAGTAGGTAAGGCTTTTTCGATTTTCTTTTGATGTGATAAAGATCTGTCAAGTAGTTTAACAGAGGACGAAAAGTGTGACACTGAAATCTGAAGGCACATTGGAATAGCGAAAAATGCATTCCAAAAGCGTATTAAAGAACAAAAACACTTCGTTAGAAACAAAAAAAAATAACAGTGACCTGTTACGTGATATCTCTTCTCCTATATAGCAGTGAATGCTGGACAATCTGCTCAAAGATAAAAAAGAGACTTGAAGCAACAGAAATGTGGTTCTACAGAAGGATGCTGAGGACACCATAGACTGAATATGTGAGCAGCGACGAAGTTTTAGAGAAAATCGAAACAAAAAAAGAAACTTATACTTAATATCAGGAAGAGATAGTTGAAATTCTTAGGGGACATAATTAGGAAAGAGGGCGTGGAAAATCTCTATGCTCCCAGGACAGATTGAAGGCAAGAGGTACAGAGGAAAATAATGCATAGCATGCAGTGCTTAGGATAAATAGCAGAAAGACGAAATTTATTAGGAGCTACAAAGGAGAGAAATTATGGAGAGCCATGATCGTCTAGGTCTTGAAAGGACACGGTACATAAAGAAGGGGAGGAGGAGGACAAGGTGAAGAAGGAGGAGGAGGACAAGAGGGGAGGAGAAGAAGAAGGACGAGGAGGCGGAGGAGTTGAAGAAGAAGAAGAATGTGGAGGAGGAGAAGGAGAAACAGAAGAAGAGGAAAAAGAAGAAAGACTTGAGTGACTTTGATAAAGGATAAATTGTTACGATCAGAATACAAGATTAGAAAATTTCCGAAATAGCTAAGTTTGTAGGAGGCTTACACTCAGCAGTGGTGTCCATGAAAAAAAAAAACTCATCAGCTGATAAAATATTGTGGGGTGAGGGAAAGTGTACGGATAGTTCACCGCTGAGTGTGCACCAGCAAATGATATAATGCGGTGCAAGTTACAATTAGCTTTAATCAAGGTAATAGAAGGAATGCATCAAAATAAACTGTAGTTTCTTGTTGCCAACAGAGCTATGCTAATACTCATGTTAATCAATGTCTGAAACGGAAAACATCTTCAATAGGTACGAAATGATCGGAACTGCAAGAAGACCACCTGGTCCGATGAGTTTTGCCTTATCCAGGACGAGTTGAAAGAAACGATAACACCAGGATTGGTCGGATGTTTTTGCTTAACAGCATATCAACCTCTATAGGTTACTTAATGCCGAGACCTAAATATTTTGGACGCAATTTTATTGCTTCAACTACAGATATTCTGTATATAATTTTATATTTTCAAGACAAACGTATGTTTTTAGATTATATAGTTTGTAGGTGTTAAAATGTACTGCTGGTAATTTTACTATAAAAATGCATTTTTAAACTTTAGTGCTGTATTGTCATTTTTCTATAAAAATGTATTGCTACCGGTCATTTTTTATAAAATATATTGCTGGTATTTTTACCATAATGTATTTTATATTTTTTTAGTGAAACACCAAACAAAAATAAAAACATAATTTTCCCATAGCTGAAACCCTAGCAGGTGCTACCACCTCCGGTCAGGGTAAACCCGGAAACAACAGAAATTAATAGGTGGTTCCATGCTCCGCAAAACCTTCCAATCTCTCGATCAGAGACCTTGCGATAAAACCAGGATGCACCATGAGAAAACCACAAACTTGTAGAGGCAGTGAAATGTTTTGAGTAACATTCTACTGGGAAACAGGGTTTTACCATTCAAGTTGAAGGTATTTTGTCGTGTACCTACAAACCTCATCAGCGTTGAAGACCAGGGAAACTACTTCATGGTTGCAATATTGTTTGATTGCAGTAGCATCGTTCAGCAGGATAAAGGGACCTACCGGAATGCATGTGAATGCTGTCGGGAAGATGATGAAGACGTCATTGCTTTGTACCAAACTCCTCAGAACTCAATCCAGTTGTAGGATTTGTTGAACGAACTTTTCTCTGTAAATTGCAGCAGTTAAAGACCAGATGTTAACAAACTGGAACAAGATCCAAGAGGAAACATTGATAGGACTTCAATCCTAATCGTGTTATTACATTTTGTCTCACCAAAATATATATATATTGGGGGTGGTTAAAGCGTCTAAAGACAAGTGAAACATGGGCTCCATTTTACAACTCTGGGTGTGTTCTGGGTTCTGCAATTATATTTGCTAATCTCGCACCATTAATTCCTGTTTAACCACTGCTCGATTTTGCGCTCGACAATTGCATAACTGATTTTTTTTTCAGGTTGATGTAAAAACCTACTCGTGCTGCGTGGAACCCTACCAAACACTCACAGTGACGTTTAAGCTGCGCCGGAAGTCATCGTATTTTAGTCATGTGCTCATCCTTCCGGCTATCCTCATAGCCGTCCTTGTTCCGTTCATGTTTCTCTTGCCACCTGATTCCAAAGAGCGTATTACCATGGGTAAGTCAGTCGCTTTCCTTACCTACTTCTCTTTGCCTTCCATCATTTCTTCTCTCCCTTTAATACTCTTCCACATTCACCTTACTCTTCCCCTTACTCTTTATTATTATTATCATGAGAAATCAGCGTTAATCACAATGGCTAACGTTAATATTTTAAAGCTGCTGCCCACAAAATGCGATGCCCAACAGAAGCATCACTTATCATTTCAAGGCTGTGTTATCATTATTTACACTATTTATATTCGAACTACTGTCCTAATATTTGTTGTTATTATCACAATATTTCGGCCTTCTTTGTGTGTATATCGGGGAATTCTTTTATTTAACCTGGAATAGACTTCTTGTTCCACTAGACCAGGAAAATTTGTTGCAGTGAACTTAAATCTAACCTGCAATTGTACCATTAGTATAGTGTA